CCCCCCCCCCCCAAAAAAATTTGGTTGGGAGGAGAGTTTTAGTAAAAGCTGTAGAAAATTAGATTATGAATCAGTAAAAATTGGATTGTGAAATTTGGACATTGATGCGCGATTTTAGATAGGCAACGATACGGTGCCGGAGGCAGTTGGAGTGATATCAGCTGCTGTTTATTTGATTATTATGTTCATTTTCATACCATTCCCATTCTACGAATGGTCACAAGCTGGGTAATTCGATTACTGGACACTTTTCTGGATAACAACCTTCACATCCTCCTCATCGAATACTGAATATCCTTTTAGAAGTCAAAGCCCGCCACTTCGTTTTTATTTGCACACTGAGAAATGTCGCCATTTTACTAGCAGGTAGCAGTGTTTTTGAACTGATAGTGGCTGACTCTGTTCTGCCAGTGAAAGAAACTTGTGTCGCCAGAATTCACTTTGATGCTTTTAGCAACACTCGAAAAATGGGAACCATTGACCTCTTTTGGCTTAAATATCTCCGCATCTTAGTAAAAGAGTAGTGTAAAAATGTTGTGGGTACGATTTCGACCGAAAAAAAATTGTGTAAGCCTCTGCACTCTCGAGAAAAAGAAAAATAATTTTCCAGAAAGGGTAAATTATATACATCAACAACTCGTATATAAATAAATCACTCGTTTTGAGGGGGTTTTTTTGATAAGCAGCCGCTCAGCAATAAGTTCGAAAGGCAGGCAATTTAGATATACTGTTTCCTGTATTTCCACATCGAGAATAGTATACCTAAATTGAGTTTCGATTTGCATTTGCACTACTACTTAGAACACTTCAAAGATATTTGCGGCAGTTTTTGACTGACCTAGTGTAAATGTTTATCGGTTTGGGAAATTTTTTAGGTCAGCCGTCCCATATGACAAATTTCTAATGTTTTTGTCAGCACTCACTGCGATCTGTTCCGCAATATTGCTCGGATTTGCGGATGATGTATTGGATTTACGGTGGCGACACAAGCTTCTATTACCGACGCTCTCGTCTCTCCCCTTGTTGCTTGTATATCACGCTTGTGGTAAGTGTTGTAATTTCAGCTCGATGCAGTAGTTTCTCAGTTTGGACTATTTAAGTGTTGCAGGAATTTTAAAGACGCAAGCAGTGAATATTCCTAGTAAGGAGACTGGAAAAGAACGGGGGCCTGAAATCTTCTACGTGTTAACATATGCTGTTTGTTTGGCGTTATTGGCTCACCGTGGAGAGGAACACAATTGAATTTTGGCATTTGTTAAAAAACTGGAAGTGCCATTTAGATCTTCCAAATGAGCAAGCCTGTATGTACAGTGACTTGGTAGCCTGTCTGTGTTTCACCCCTGAACTGTAAACACAGACGGCAAAATCGGTGTGGAATGGGGTGGAAATCATCATTACAGTGCCCCGTTCCGTCATGTTAGAAGGAACATGTTGATTACCGAAAGAAGATGAGGATAGAAGGGAGGGGAATGAAGGTGAGTGTTAAAGGAGACTATAGATAGATAATGTTGTATTGCAGTAGAAGGAAAAGTAAAACTAACTGCCAATTTAAGTTGCTTTCGTCATCTATTCGTTATCTTTTTCATTCATTATGATTTGTTTTTGAAATATTTTACGAAGATGCAGTCTCTTTTGGCTAGGAGCGGAGCTTTTGCTGCTTTAATAAGTCTTATATTGCGCGCATGATCAGCTTAAAATTGAGCTTACATTTGAAAAGACTTGTATTCAGGGTCGTCAACAACCATCGTTATGCCGTGTATAATTCGCGGTGTCGTTCCATTAAAAGAGCATATCGATATTGGAATTTTCTACTACATTTACATGGGAATGATGGCAAGTTCATTTTTTGCTCATTTTTAGATGTTGGGTGCGACAGTTTTTGGGGAAAATCTGGAAAGCGAGATTTATTGCTCGTTGCGATGTACCTTCGAAATTTAGCTTGGCTTGCATTTTTTTCACATTGTCTTTCTGTCGCAAACCCAGACAAAATGGAATTAAAATATCCTTCCGCAGCACAATTTGCCAACTTTTTTTGATAACAGATTTTTTGTGCGCGGGATAATTAGGAATTTGAGTTGTCATCATTTTTTTGCTTTATGGACTTTTAGAGAGAGAAGCATTAGGTGCCGTATTAGAAAATTACTGGTTAGAAGAGGTTTTCCTGTCACTTAAAAAGTGCAGCATATGAGTTCTTCTGAGTAAGAAAACAGCTAGACACCTTTTTTTGCGCTGTGAGTATGCACTTTGAGTCTTCTTTTTTTTTTAATTTGCCTAGCTTTTCATAAATTTTTCCCACTGCGCTGCAAGATATCAGTACTCTCCGGCTGAACAAACAGCATCTTATTGCCGGAAAGTACTTCCTCATAAACTTTCACTGTTGCTATATCAAAGCGAAAATCAATAAGTCGGTTTTGCGGTATTATAGGTAGTGTTTTGTACGAACGCAATCAACATTCTGGCCGGAATAAACGGTCTTGAAGCTGGTCAGGCTTTTATAATCGCATCATCGGTTGTCATTTTCAATGTTGTTGAAGTATGTGCCTGAGGAACTCATTTTGCGTCATCGTTAGAAACTATGACCTGGCTACGATAAAATTCTGAGTTGTGTAGAAATTGGAAGGCCACACTGTCGGGAACTGTACTGATCATCAGTGTACAATCAGACTGTAGTTTAGTAAAATCGCTGAATGTTTGTTGGGGAGCTCCCGATGCTTCTTGATGCAGTCGCGTGTTTTTCCTTCCAAATTTCTTGCTACCTGACATTTTTACATGGTGGTTGGGGAGTTGTACGGATGATTCCCGCCTCTAACTGCACCTTATACTGTCTGTGTTTCCAGCTAAGAGATGAAACACAGGCAGACCACCGTACGCATTCCATGTACATGACTATCATACGGCTTTGTACCGCATTAACAACCTTGCTATCTTTTTCATCATAATCCATTTAACTAATCCCATCCCAGGTTAAAATTTATGGACTATGGCCGTTCCATATTTCCCTGGTTCGGACTATCCGTTTGTTTCGGAGATTACGTTTCGGCCTACCAACGGCCGCAAATTATTTTGTCAATTTTATTCCACGCTTTGTTTTAACCTACTCAGGCCGTTCCACATTTTCACTTCTTTGAGCCGTCGGTAAAGCTTACGTTTCAGCTTTCTAACGGTCGCAATTTATCATTCATTGCAACTCTTCAAGTTCCCCCATCTCCGTACGAACCTGAATTACTTGGAACAGTTGTGCTGCCTCTTCTGTACTAAGGGTAGTTTTCGTTGCGCAACAGTGGGAAGGAAAATACGGCGGTACATCTTAGTTGAGCCTCTACGACACTCGTTTTATTACTACATGTATCCGAAGATTGCTTAGACGGTGTCCATTTCCCTTGAATTCTTCAGTATAATTTTACCTCACTGCTTACAGTTGCTTCGTTCGGTTTCGCCATGGCATCACTCACTATCGCTGTATTTTCTGTTACCTTTTCTCGGCACAACATCTGTTCTATTATATTTTAACTGGTACTTTTCCATTTCTCTTTTCACAAAAAACAGTGTAATCAAAGATAGTCGAAGTGTTTGAATTTTAACCCGAAATTTTTTTGAACGAATGAACGAATCGCAGAGGGACTGATAGTTTTACCAAAAGAGCCGAAATTTCTCTGCGGTAGAACGGGAGTTTGGCTCCTTCGGTGAACTACTCCGGCCACTGCTGTGATAGAAATATCGGTAAAAAGCAATTTCAAAACAGAATTGACGATGATATTCTAAATTAAATTGAAAAAAAAGCAAATCAAAAACGATGTAGAATAACGAAAGCTCTGGTCTGATGAGTTTGATAAAGCTTGAACGAATGTGTGGAGTCATTGGTTCGGGAAATTAGGAAAATGGAAAATTTGCGGGATGCATCACTCGCAAAAAAGTTACATAACGATGAAACAGCAGCTAACTAAAGCCTTAAAAAATCATACTAATAATCGTGCCAGCGCAGGGCTCATGACCAGTTTTTGCATCCTCCAGATATGTGTTTCAGGTATCCAGCACGGATCTTCGTCGGTGATACATTTTGTTACTGGGCGGGCATGACGCTGGCAACTACCTGTATCATTGGTCATTTTAGTAAAACAATGGCTCTTTTCTGGATTCCACAGGCAAGAATTTATCCAGCGGTACCACGGTTTACTGTTTTTCGCCGGAAAGGTGTCATGATGGACATCAAATCCTTGAATGATTTTCAGATTTTCAATTTCATTTATTCAACCCCGCAGCTCTTTCATCTGGTACCGTGCCCGCGTCATAGATTACCCAAATTTGATCAAAAAACTAACACCGTCGATATGAGTATCGTCCAGTTCAAGGAAAGAGGTGAGTGCTGTTGTATCACTGTTTTTTGAGGGACATTAGTTCATTTTCTGTGACGAATATTTCTTACCATACTCATTGGGATCAAAGCTTTTTGACGTTGAGCCTGTAATTCTGTGCCTTTTTTGGCTTATTTGTTTGCTTTGGAATGTCATCGTTAACTCTTTTTTAAAATTACTTGTTACTAACATTTACCGGAGGGGCTGTTGATTTTTTGATTTTCTAGATATCGAAACGAAGGGTAAAGTGGTCATTAATGTCCTGGATTTTATCGGTTTATTGTACAGAGAAACGTTCGAAAAAGATGGTGAAAGGTATTGTTTTTAGATTTCCCAATTTTTTCAGGAGGGATTTTACCTTAAAAGATAAAGACTGATCGTGTAACATGCATTAAGTATGCTTCTCACTAGAATTGTGCACTCAAAATGTGTCGGCAGTACCATTTCTTTTTATCAGAAAATAAATTCCTGGGCTGTCAAGGTCATCACTGTAGCTATAAAGGCACTCGTAAGTTTGTCTGGGATCTAAATATTTCCCGAATCACCTATTTTTTTCAGGTACATAGCAGTCAACAATCTAACGCTCATCAATTTGGTTTTGAAATTTACGGGTCCCATGCACGAGGAGGGATTGACGGTAACACTTCTCGGTATACAGATTTTATCGTCATTTTTTGCATTTTTCATTCGTTTTTATGTAGCATCTTTGATGTATGACATCGTCCGGTAATATTTTTTTTTTTTTTTGCCCCGGTGAGTTTGTGATCAACTCTGCTCATTATCATGCCAGCTATTCTAGTTCTCTCAGTTTTATTAAGCATGATCATGAATGTATATGCATGTATATAATATATCATTACAGGCTCCCAAAAAATATTCAGGAATTTTCGATTTCACTTGTATTTCAAGTTTTGACTTTTTGTTTTTGGCTAATAATTCATAGTTGTTGGAAATGAATTTTCGTCTCATTTTTTTAACAGTAATTCATTTGATGGATCTTATATGCATCCGGGTGCAATAAATCATAAAAATTCTGAACAAAACAAATTTTTATTAGCAGTCACGCGTACGGAGAAACACTGCGCTGCACAACTATTTCACTAAATAATTTGGTAAAATTTCCTGAAATTGAGAGTGAAAAAAAAA